AAAATCAGCCGGGCGTGGTAGCGCGCGCCTGTAGTTCTAGCTACTTGGAAGGCTGAGGCGGAAGGATCGCCGGAGCCCAGCAGGTCGAGGCTGCGGTGGCCGGGAGCGTGCGGTGGCCGGGAGCACTCCAGTCTGGGTGACAGGGTGAGACTCCAACTCAAAAAAAAAAAAAAGTGTGTCTCTGTAAAACCCCAAGCTATGTGCTTATGCTTTTATGAGCCCTTTGAGCTACCAGAGATTAAAGACTCCATTAACACCCCCCCCCGATATCCTCAACAGAATCTTATGACTTTATTGATTCAGTATTTTCTTTTAAAAAAAAAAACCTTATACAACAGGGACCAAAAATGATTAGTGTAGAAAAAACTTATGCTGATTCATGAGGTCTTATATATTGCCTTGAAAAAAGAAATAATGGTGACTGGCTAATTATTTCTTCGCCGCCGTTCCTGGAGATCAGCTAAGACCAGTTTCTAGACTCAAGGATTAAGAGCATTGCTGCCGTAGCATCAGACAGTGATTGTTTTTAACGCCGGCGGTGGCTGCCGTCTACTTCCCAGGCATCCTTGGGTTGGGCAGGGGCAGTAATAGGAACATCTGTGTCCTCTCCACAGGTCGACCGTGGGCGCCCTGCTGGCATCTGAGGTAACCAGTGTCTCCCGAGTGCATGTCCCATTGTATCCTTGCCCCATCACTACATCTGGCCTGTTGTGGTTTCTACAGACACCCACACACACAGCCTTGAATCCCACTGGAGCAATTTCCTTTTCCTCCTGGATGAGCAGTCCCACCCCAGGGGACCGTGGGGTGGCATGACAAGGCCCTCTCCTCCTGGGGGTTGTCCTTGGGGCCGATCGTTTCCACAACCACCCACCACAGGCCCGGCAGCCTGTCATCTGCACCTTTTTGCTTTCGTTTTCAAGCTGGGGTGGAAATTCTATGATGCCGATGACTATCACCCAGAAGAAAATCGAGCAAAGATGGGACGCGGGATACCACTGAATGACCAGGTAACATTCACCGTCGGTGCCCGACACACACGTTCCCTGTGGGTGACATAGGGTGACAGCTCTGCGGTGCTTGGGGCAGTAGAATCCTGAGTCATGGGGTCACCCATGCACCGTGCTTCGAAGAGCCAGGCGCACAGGGGGTCATCCATGTAGCTTGGCTCTGGCTCTGCTGAAACACCTGGTTGTGGGATTTCCATCTGCAGAATGTCATCCCTGAGAGGGCAGAGGCTCCCCTGTGCCCCAAAGCCAGGAAACCATCATCTTCTCTTCCCGGGTCCTCCAGCCTCCGTCACTGCACCCTGGCATCCACCCCAAAGCCAGAGTAATCTCTGAAACTCAAGCTTGGCCGGTACCTCCCTAAGGCCCTATAAAGGCAACCCACTGATTTCAGGGTCAAAACCAAGCACCCAAACTGCTAAAAGTGTATGACCTGGCCTCCAAGCTCAACTCCAGCCTCTTCAGGGGCCATCACCCCTCGCTTTCTCCATGACAGCATCCTGGTCCCTTTCAGTCCCTCCTGCTGCAACTCTCCTCCCCACTGGGCCTTTGTTTCCCTCTCCCTGCCCAGTTAATCTGCTCATCCTTTAATCTCGGCTCCTATGCCACTTCCTCAGGGAAGCCCTCCCTGACTGACTGAAGTAAAACCCCCATGGTGAACTGGCACCGTTTAACCTTTGCCCTTGCCCCTGCTGCAACTCAACAGTGGATGGTGTGAGAATTTGATTGATGTTTGTCTCTGTAACCAGACTTTACCCCCAAAAGGGCGGAGACCGTGGCTGTTTCTCTTTTCTGACACAGTAAATGTCCGAAAATATCTGTGGCATGTTTCTGAGCGAATGAACAAGTGAATAAGCAGCAGCATCCTGTGTGCTGGCCCTTGAGGCTGTTTCCTAGAGTGTCTCTCCCAAACCAGAGTCACAAACTGGATTCGCGGGCAGAGCCAGCCGCGACTCAGGAGAGGCTGTGTGGGCTGGTCGGTCGCTAGGGCCACAGGGCAGCCACACACTAGGTGTGTCCAAAGGGCAAGAACAAACGGAACTGGCCAGAGACCAGCACTGCTGTTTTCCTTTTCGGTGGCTTTGGCTGGGCACACCCCTAGGTGTCTTCCCTACCTCGCAATCTGCCCTTTGTCCCTTGAAGGACTTGAGTCACTAAACCATACTTAGGACTATTCTAAAGCACTCTGAGAGTGCACTTCTCTTTGTTCTGGGGAGAGGGATTACAGCTTGAGTTTGCAGTGGTTTCAGCCTTGAATCATCACAGTTAGATTTGCCACGTTGGATTTTTTTTTTTTTTTTTGAGTTAGAGTCTCACTCTGTCGCCCAGACTGGAGTGCAGTGGCCACTCCCAGCCACTGCAACCTCAACTGTCCCGACCAGCAGGACAAGTAAAACGTGGGCACGAGGAGGACTACCTGCTGCTGGTGAAAAGAGAGAGAGAGACCAAGAGAGAAAGAGACAGGAGACACGCAGAATAGAGGCAAGACAGTGTTCTGATCAAGCCTCAAAATTTTATTGTTAGGCGATTGCTTATATACATAGCAAAGAGGGGCGGGCTGAAATAGGGCGTGTGGCGGCTTATGATAGGAGGAAGAGTAGTGGGTGGTATGAGGAGAGGA